TCAACCTCCAAAAGAAATAGTAAAGCTAAAGATCCCTTTTTTCCTTTTCAGTTCTTTGGAATGCTGAGTGTCTGTGTGCTCACATGCAAGAGGGAAGACAATGGCTACCAACCCCTGTACTCAGGGGTATTTGCTTGATAAGATGATGGAAAGATCATTTTTCATCTGTTTCTTCGTGATAAAATGGATTTGTATAGATGCCCCAAATGGACAATGTATTACCCCTTTGTTAAATACTGTATTTTATTTACGTGAGCAGAAAGAACACTGTTAAGATTTGGAAAGGTTTTAAGTGTATCCTGTGAAATGACAGCTTCAGTGTGCAGTGTCCCTTGGTAACAACCTGATTTCATGTACCTTAACTTTCTTTAGGGCTGTTTCACATTCACATGTGTGACATTCCCTAAAACGACAGCAGATGGTGTGATAGACTCCAAAAAGAAACCCTACTTCTTGCAAGTTTTACATTTGTCAGACCTATTTGTAACCTGAAACTCATAGAAGAAATTGTTTTTAATCATTAAACTGATAATGCAGCCATGGTGCATTCTAGACTCTCTTCAATATTTCCAACAAGAAATCAGTCCCATGACAAATGTTCAAGCAGCAAAAGAAATCTGTAAACAGAAGGTTTGAATATTCCTGTTTATAAGCATTATTATTCAAGGGTACATTTCACTGTTGCTGACATGTTTTTTTCTCTCCAATTTGTAACTGCTGTAATTCAGTTTGCTTTAAAGATGAGCATGAATCATATCCTCAGACCAAGACACCCCTGAACTTTGGGCAAATTTAAAATCCAGATCTGAGGTTTGCAGCTGTCTCTTTGGTCTACCAATGGGATGAATCGACCCCTCAGATCTGAGTATCTCCAAACTCTGGGGAAGTCTGAATTAGAAGTTTATCACTTTGGCCAATCTCTGGTTCTTTTAATTTGAAATCAAGAATTTCTGAGGCAAGGCACTTAATTTTTCCCATTTTGATACCAAGTTCTAAAATGTTATCTGTACTGATGTTTTTATATTTGTCTCTCTTACAATTAATTTTGAAGTCAGTGGGACTATTTACATGAAGGCTGCAGGATTGGTCCCACTGGAAATATGAGGTTTGGGGATTTGTTAGAGTTCTCATTTAAAGTGGTGGCCTAATGGAAGTGGCTGCACAGAGGATTTCTTACTGTTAGATTACACGTTTTCTTCACGCTTCTCTGGGTGACTGAACAATTTCAAGAACCTATTACATTATGGCAAACAATTCTGTATAGTACTCTTTTTGAGTCATTAGGATTTTTTGTTGTTTTGTTTTTTTGAAGGTCTGCTGAATGTGATCACCTTTTGGGTCACATAGAGCAACAAAAATCCCTCTTAACAGCTTTAAATGTCAACCTTGAAATTATTCCGTTCCTTGTGTTTCTTTTCTTTTTAAACCAGGGTGAGGGATTAGTCTGGATGATACAGACTGTTAGAAAAGAAACAGAAAAAATCCTCTTGAGAGAGGCAAACATTTGCTATAGGAATAGAATAGAGTGTGTTTCTCTAAAGCTATCTCAAAAAGAAGTATGGGCTGAATGTGAGCTTTTAGTCTGTTATCTTTTTCTCAAGAGATGGAAAGAGGAACTGCTGACTTAAGTTTATTCCTCTGTAGATGTGTGTGTTAGGAATGGCTATTGTTTTGTTTTGTTTTTTTATTTAAGCATTTGGGTATTGTGTGCTTTGTCTTCTCTTAATGCCAAAACAAAAAACCCTTCTGGAATATATTTTAATCAATTAAGAAATGCCACTCATTACTACATTTCATTCCATCTTAAAAATTATTTATGAGAAAGATGTAAGCCAGGCCATTCTCAATGAGAGAAAACATTTCCTTTCCAAAAGTACCTGGGCTAGGGCAATGAAAGAGGCAGTCCTGTCTTATGCTCTGCTCAGTGAAAGAAGCCTACTAGTGCCTTGCAAAGCAGTGTTTGTGACTGGCTGGGATGCGTGTGGATGTGACAGGCTGTGTGTGTGTGTGTGTGTATATGACAGGCTAGGGGGAGAGGATAATAGGCTGTGATGGGGGGGGTAGTGTGAAGGTAAGAGTGGCGGGATACACGTATTGTGTGCAGGGGCTGCAGGTGTGCTTGGCTGGAGTGTGTGTGTGGGGGTGCAGCTGTGTCTGGTTGCGATAGATGTAATGTGTGGGTATGAATGGTGGTGTATCTGGCTGGCGGTACAGACGTGCCTGGCTGGGGGAGGAGGGAGTAGTGTGCACGGGTGTGTCTGGCTGAGAGGATTGGGGTTCCTGACAGCAGTGGGAAGGGAATGTTAGGTTCGACCCAGGGCTGGGGGCCTTGCTGGGAGGAGGGGAGTGCTAGCCATGGGGCATTGCCTAGGCTCGGCGCTCGGGTCCCTGGCCTTATTGGAAATCCTGGGAGGTGGGTGGGTGCAAGCCCACCCACCTCTAAAGGCCTCTCCCCCAGCCTTGCGGGAGGGACCACTGGACCCGGGAACCAACTGAAAATGGGGGACAACTAATGAATAACAGGGTCAGGAGGAGTGAAGGTCACTCGGGTCCCTGGCAGCGGGTGGGAGGATGCTAGCCTGGCTCAGGCCCAGAGGGTGGTCCTGGACTCGAGTCTGGACAGAACATGGGTGCAACCAGATGGGTCAAGAGGAAAATCAAGGCTGGTCCGGCGCACACTGACAAAGGGCGGAGGAGCTCCGCAATGCTCTCTCTAGGGGCGGGGTGATGAGTGGTGAGTGCAGCCTGAATGACTGTGCCAGAAGCCAACGGGAGCTCCACGGGCTGCGCTGTGACCAAGTTGCAAAGGGACTACAGCGGAGGGAACAGGATAGGGCCAGGCCTCAGGAGCCAATCCGAGGAATAAACTAGCTGAATGGGGCGGTGTCAGAGAGACATGGGCCAATCTGGAAAGGCTCCTTAAGGGGGAAGTGAGACCACTTGGGAGGGCAAGGGATAGATAAGAGGGCAGGGCCTTAGTGGCAGAAGGAGTTTGCGGGAACCCTTCACAGACAGCGAGAGGGATTTTATCCCCGCCAGGCCTGGGACCCTGAGCACAAGTAGTGCTCCCCCCCCCCCAGCTGTGATGGGGGCAACCCCAAAGAGGGGGTGGTTGGGAGGGCACTCCCCACAGATCATGGCTATGAGGAAGAGGGACTAGCCTACATACACTGAGGGTGTTTGTTGGCATGTGTCCCCCAACATAAGGGGAATTTTAGGTGGCACCAAGCTGCATTGCTAAGCTGAGGCATTTGAAAATCATGGATCAGGCTGCCTCCAGAGTCAGGGTTTGGCTTTAAAAACAAAATTGTTTAAAATAAATAAAAATGGGGTCCTTAATTGGCTGCTGGTTTTTGAACCTGCAAGCTTAATTCACCCTCTTTGGGCACCAGCAGTATGATGCCATCTTTTATTGCATGGCCCCGTGCTATTTTCCCCCCCACAGGTCACCCACCTCATTCCAAGCATAGAATGGCTTGTGCTTCCTGAATGAACCGTTAGTCACTATTTAATTATCATGCAATGTGTCCCCCAGGCCTTATTTATACTGCACAGTATTCAAACCCTACTCTGAAGACAGAATAATTCATTTCTTCGTGGGCTAATTTATGATGCTCATGGCTGTAGTATCTAAAGCCATGAGATCAGTGGGAGTTAGGTGCCTATAAACCTTTGAGGATCTGGGCCTGAGTGCTTCACAAACATCAGAAAATAAATTTATTAAAGTGAGGGAGTGCTATTATCCACCTTTTACAGATGGGGAGCTCAGGCACAATGGAATTAAGTTTTTAAAGTATCCATTTATTTTGGGTACCCTCTTTGAAACATGTAGAACCTGATTTTCTCAGAATACTCAGATTCTGTAGCATTTTTATGTGCTCAAAGAATACCCTTCAGTGATTTTAGTTGCTACTGTGAATGCTCAGCACTCCTGTAAATCAGGCTTCTGTCTCAGGTTGGGTGCCCAGAAAGTAAAGGACACAATTAGTGACTACTTCTGAAAAGTCTGGTTTAAACTAATTGACTGGCATCACATAGGAACACTGCAGGTCACAGCGAACTGCACATGATGCCTACTGCTCTGAGGTGTCTAAGAATTCAGCGGACGCCAGATACCACCCAGAGGTACTTTGCCTAGATGTGTGCTCAGACAAGGAACTGGAAAAAGGCCCCACCTTTGCAAAGAACCCTTCCATCCAGCTTCCTCCTCCTGAACTGATGTATGGCCAACAGGGCCAGTGCTGGGACTTTGGGAGGAGGTTGATTAGGAAGTCTGAGAGAAACCACTCATCTCCAAATGGATCCAGCCCTTGAAGCCCCTCTGCTCTCTTCACAAGCCCTTCCTCCTCTAAACCCAGCCTCAGGGCCCTTGCTCTTGCCCCAGGGTCCTTCTTCCACCCCCACCAATCCAGCTCTGGGGACCCTTCCTGTTGCTCCCCAAAACCCAGCTCCATGAACACCTCTTGTCCCTCCCCCAAACCCAGCACCAGGGTCCCTTCATGTTCCTTTCCCCCACCCCAACCCACCTCCAGGGATCCCTCCTGCCCCCAATCTGGAGATCCTTCCTCTTCCTGGCCCACCAAACCCAGCTCTAGGGACCCTTCCCGTTCCTACCCCTCGACCCCACAACCCAGATCCGGGGACCCTTCCTGTTCTTCCCCCGCCTCCTCGAATCCAGCTCAGGGGATTTCTGTCCCCTCAAGGGCTCCGCCTGCCCTTACCCCCCACTGGGTACCGACCCGCTTCCCCCTAACTCAAGTCCCCAGACCCACTGCCCCAGCTCCGCAGAGCCCTGCCCCTCCCGCTCCTGGAGCAGCAGCCTCAGGCAGGGCCAGGACTGCTACCGGTGCGTGGATAGCCTAGAGCCGCGCGAGGCGGCAACAGGCTTCACTGCGACTAGTAGTGCGCATGCTCAGATTGCCCGCGCATGCCCGTGAAGCCGCTCCCGAAAGGACCGTGGAGGGTCTCTTGACTTCTCGCGTTAGTTGCCGCTGCTGAGCGCGGGTGGTTTGAACGGCTACAGCGCGCGCACTCCCCCCTCTACCCCCGGCGACTCCTGGTTCATACGGGCCCCAGCCTCCCGCGGTGAGTCTGAGGGGAGGGGACGGGCGGGGGGTCTTGGAGATAGTGGGGCGGGGGCTGAGAGGGGCCTGGTGAGCAGGCAGGGGAAGTGGCTGGTCCCCAGCATGGCTTTGGGGGGTGCCTTGGGAGGGGCGAGAGGGGCCTGGGGAGCAGGCAGGGAACAAGGGTGGTCCCCGGTATGGCTGGGGGGGGGGGCGTCTTGGTGAGGGGGGGCGAGAGGGGCCTGGTGAGGAAGAGGGTGGTGCCTAGGAGCATGGCTCTGGGTGGAGGCGCCTATCTCTACTCTCCACCTACCTAGGGAAGGGACCCAATACAACGGATCCCTCCCCTCTGCCAGGCACCCACTCGCCCCCCCCCCCCTTCCTCCTTGCCCTGCTGTCCGACTCCTGCTGCACATTGTGGACCTTCCTGCAGACCCAGGGAAGGTCCTTCCCATGGGCTCTGTGCCAGCCTGTCTTGTAAGCCAGCTCTGGACAGGTTGAGGAGGAGGGGGCGGGCCTGGCTAGCAGCAGCTGCGATATAGGACCCAGTTCAGAAGGGTTATGTCACACACAAGTATCGACACTGGTGTACATCACATGCCAAGGGGTTGGAGAAGGTGTAATGTAAAGCGGGAGAAGGGGGTGTTCACAGTTTTACACTGCCCTCCCCCTGTCTCCCTTGTTGCTTTCCCTGCCATTCAAGCTGCACTTGTGGCCCCTCTGTTTTAATCCCTTCTGCTCACTCACTGAGCTGTAATTTGCACATCAGACAGATATAAGATGGTAATATGCTTGTCAGGAGCCATGTCTTATGTATGTGGAATACCATATACCCATATGATGTATATTATAGTTGGAGCTTGGCAGTATGTGTTGTAGCTGAAGTTACACATAAGAGCAGCCATACTGGGTCAGACCAATGGTCCATCTAGCCCAGTATCCTGTCTCCCAACAGTGGCCAATGCCAGGTGCTTCAGAGGGAATGAACAGAACAGGTAATCATCAAGTGATCCTTTCCCTGTCGCCCATTCTCAGCTTCTGGCAAACAGGCTTGGGACACCATCTCTGCCCATCTTGGCTAATAGCCATTGATGGACCTATTCTCCATGAATTTATCTAGTTCTTTTTGAACCCTGTCAAGTATCAGGGGGTAGCCGTGTTAGTCCGTATCCACACAAAAAACAGGGAGTCCGGTGGCACCTTAAGTCTCCATGCATCTGAAGAAGTGAGGTTTTTTACCCACGAAAGCTTATGCCCAAATAAATCTGTTAGTCTTTAAGGTGCCACCAGACTCCTTGGTTTTTTTGAACCCTGTTAGTGTCTTGGCCTTCACAACATCCTCTGGTAAGGAGTTCCACAGGTTGATGGTGTGTTGTGTGAAGAAATACTTCACCAGGACTGTTATTTTATTCCTCTATTTCCGTATGTCCATAGCTTTCTGGAAAACAGTCTCTTTTGAGGATGAAGTTATCCATAATGGGTATCAACCTGAGGGATTTATTTTTTTTTCGTTTGGAGCTGTGAAAGTTTGAGCAAAAGCCTTCCAGCAGTTTTTGAGTTAATCAGAGATGAACTGCTAGTGTGAAGCCCTGTTAGTAAAGTTTTGGGGTTTTTTGGGGGGGAGGCACTGACCGTTATAGTATCACTAATCCCCTAGCCTACTGGCCCCCAGCTGCTGAGTTTTGTCCAGCTCCAAAATATCCTTCTTCTTCCCCCCGCCCCCAAACACCCCTTATATCTCTTCCACAAGGTTCCACCACTGAGCCTGTGTATGCCCCCAACCTCTGGTCCTCTGTAGCTCCCCTCACCCCAAGTCCAATCAGCTGGGTGAGGAGTGGGAAGTGCTGAGCCCTGCTGCACTAAGCATCCTCAAACTGTTTCCTCCTCCTTCATGCTGCTTCCTTTCTTCCACGTGAGGGCTGAAAACTGGTGTGGGAACAGTGTCGTCCCCCCATCTCCCTCAGGCTGGAAGCTGTAGCAGTGATGACTTTCCCTTTCCCTTTAAAATTTTGCTCATGACATCTATGGTCCTGCAGTGCCATTTACTTCTGTGCTCGCTGATGGCATTTCAGGTTTGGGTTCTTAGACCTCATTCAGCAGTCAGATCCACAGGTGTGGGGAAGTCTCTTGTCATTAGTGGAGTTCTCTGTGGATCTAATTACAGGATTGGGCATAAATTAATATCTGAGGCCATGATCTCACAAACATGCACATATTTAACTTTACATATGTGAAGAAGCACCATTGAGGAGTCTGCCTGCATGTCTATTTGTAGGATCAGAGTCTGAGCTGATATTTATAATGGAGGTTTTCAATGTAGGAAATATTAGTAGAGGGATTTTAATGTAGAAACAGATTCTGTATTGAAATTTTTGTGTTCCTGCAGAGCTGCTAATTGATGCAAGAGGAAATTGTTAGGCCTCCAAGTTCTACTAGCAAAACCCAGGGGAGCTTGTAAACTATACAACCCCAATAGGTGAGGTTCAAAGAGCATCTAAAGTCCTCTAGTAAAGCTGGTAAAGCTTGCAAGCTCCTTTATGCTTAAAGCACCCATCAATTTATATTCCAGACGCAAATGTGACTCCCCCCTCCCCCACTGCTGTTAAAAGTAACATCTAAAGCCCTGGTCCTCCAAACACTATGCATCTGAATAGTCCCACTGAACCCGGTGAGGCTTCCTCACATGTATAAGTTCTTGCCAGATCAAAGCCTAAGGCCTGGCATATGCTGCAAAGTTAAGTCAATATAAATTGCCTTGTGTCAACCTATTTGTACATGTCTATATACTTAAATTTGTCTCTACCTAACATAAGTGACCTGTTACGGCGATGCAGTAAAACCACCTCCCCAAGCGGCATAGAGCTGAAGTCAACCTACTGAGGTTGATGTAGTACAAGTGTGTAGACACTGTATGACCTGTGTCGACCTGAACGGTCCTCCAGTGCCTGTCCTACAATGCCCCATTCCCTGCGACAGTGACCTCTCTGGTCACAATTGTGAACTCTACTGCCCAGTGGTCCCAGAGACGGAAAGGCACCCCACCACACATTTTTGAAATGCCTTTTCCTGATTGCCCAGCTTGGCAAGCACACCTAGCGGTGCTCCCTTGTTGTGTGCAACTATGCCAGCTCCATGTACTAGAGACACTCCTGGCTGGAGCAGGCAAGAAGTATTGGTTCTCATGGCCCTGTGGGGAGAAGAAGCTGTGCAATCAGAGCTATGGATCAGCAGTAGAAATGTGGATATCTACTAACAGATTGCACAGGAAATGCAGGAAAAGGGTATGACAGGTAGCAGCAGCATTGCAGCATGAAAGTGAAGGAACTATGCCAGGCATACCACAAAGGCAGTGAGTGCAAAATCGAGCTGGGGGCTGAGCCACAGACTTGCCACTTTTACAGTGACTTGCATGTCATACTTGGTGGAGACCCAACCAGCACACTGCTGACCACCATGGATAAGACAACAGACTCGCTGCTGTGAACAGCAAGGAGGAAGAGGATGAGGGGGCAAGACATGGCAGGGAGTTCGAGCCATGCCACAAGTCAGGATCTGTTTGACACTTTGCCACAGTCTACCCAGTTTCCCTAGCCAAGCACGGATAACCCCGATGGAGGGGAAGGGACCATGGGTAAGTGTATGCATGCATTTTTCCTTACAGTGTTTAAATTTAAAGATGGTGCCCATCCTATCCCAAATTTAACCAGACACAGGTATGGACTTGTCACAGTCTTACTCCTACAAGAGGAGGTAGTGGTACAACAAACAGAGGTAGAGTTGGCATCTGCTTTTCATTCCCCTGTTGGATTAAGTGGGGGACAGGGGTTCAGAGCAGTTTGTTTATGAACATAGAGATGTCTCTTGAATCCTCCTGGGCTATCTCGATGAAACTTTCATGGTGTTGCTCTGCAGTTCATACTCTAAGGTTTCTAGCGAAGGCTGTCTTATTTCTTCCTTTGTGGTAGGATGCTTTCCCATGCCACTCTGCAATGAGTTCACCTGGCACCATTGCAGTAAACAGGCTAGCAGCATATGGCTCTGGGTGGATTTGGGACTCCAGTAGCAGCTATGTTATGTGTACCTTTGTTACCCTCGGGAGTGACATATCAGCTAAAAATACCACAGCCTGTGGAAAATGGTACCAGTATTCAGTGTCATTGCCCTATACTAGTGCCCATGAAAAAGGGACCGAACTTTTATTGTTTCATGCAACTGAAATTCCTTGCCCCTGGCCAGCCATACTCACTATGGCTGGGGCTGGAGAGCACTGCTGTGCAGAGGTGCTCCAAAGCTGAAGTGTCAGTATGTCTTATTAAAAGTTTTTGTGGGAATTAGATAAGGGAGTTTTGAAACTTCCCTTCCATTGTGACTAAATCCAATGATACATCTGTCTGGTTTTTATCAGCAGCTGCTACTATTGCAGCCTTGAGGGGTGCTCCCTCCACACATGCAGAATGCCTGACCCCGATGAGGAGGAGAAAGAAGACGAGTAGGGAGGACATGTTAAGTGAGAGCCTGTAAGCAAGTGCTGCATGAGACCATGAACAAAGGGCCTAGAGTGCCAAAATATTGAATATTCAGTGTCGGCAGGAATGAATATACAGTAAAAGGTTTTGTAAGAAAACAGGAAGCAAGTCCAATAGGAATAATTAGGTGTAATTAGCAGTTCACTCCAGATACTCCTGGGGAGAGATTTAGTTGCATAGGAGTAACTACACCTCTACCTCGATATAACGCTGTCCTCGGGAGCCAAAAAATCTTACCGTGTTATAGGTGAAATCACGTTATATCGAACTTGCTTTGATCCACCGGCGTGCACAGCCCCGCCCCCCCGGAGTACTACTTTACTGTGTTATATCCGAATTCATGTTATATCGGGTCGCGTTATAACGGGGTAGAGGTGTATTGTATATTTGGATAGTGTCTGTATATCTGTAATAAATCAGTTGGTCTCTCTCCTAATTCTGTTCTGAATATATTTGCAGAGTTTTAATCCTTTCAGCAGTCTATGTACTTTTATTT